GTGGTGGGTACAAGTAGTCTGGTGTCGAGTGCGGAAGTGGAAGCGGAAGCGGAAGTGGCAGCGGAAGTGGCAGCGGAAGTGGCAGCGGAAGCGCAAGAGAACAAGGTTCGCGAGTGTGTCGGAAGAGCGGCTGAGCCTGGACGACTGCTGGATCGGATGGAGTGGACGAAGTGTGTCGAGCGAGGGTGGGCGCGCTGCGGAAGTGGTAGACGGTGCGTGCGGATGCGTGCGGAAAGGAGTGCGGATGAGGTGCGGATCGACGGATGGCGACGAGGAGGAGGAGGAGGAGGTTGGATGCGGGTGGTGACGAAGAAAGCGGTCCGAAACCACGGCGTTCCGCTCCTCGTTGCGAGGCGCAGACGGCAGGCGCCGACAGCAGACGCAATAGCAGACGCAATTGCAGACGCAGAGAAGCGACACAGACAGCCGCTCGCCGATGCAGCCGCCGCGGCTGCCGCCAATTAATGAATGAATTCACCTCGGCAAGTCAGGTGGACCAAGCGCGACGCACAATCGTCGATGCATCACACAGTGAACGCTTGTTGCGGTGCGGGTGCTGTTTGTGCAGCAGCTATTTCGACGCGCCGCACCGCAATTCGAGCAGATGCCAAGCCAGCCAAAGTTCGCCGCCCCACGCCAGCACAACACACACACACGACGCGGCAACACAACAAAGACACGCGGCTCTTCCGAACGACCAGTCTGCCAAAACACACGCAGCGATTTGTAGTTCCCACGCCCTAGCCTTGACAAGCTAGGGGATGAGAAGGTGCTGATTGTACAGCGACGGTGCTTCCGATCCGCATTCCTCCATCCGGTCGTGAAAGCAAAGCCAGCCTGGTGAAGGAAGCGCTGCGTCCAGAGTTTGGATCGGCAACACCGACGCCAGCCGCGGGCGCGTTGCAGCAAAAAGAGTGGAGGCTAAGCTCCACGCCCAATCCGCCCGAGAGACAGGCACGGCGCAGCAGCAGCAGCAGCTCTAACACGCTCATGGTCTGTGCCCATGTGCTGCACGCCGAGCCAGTTCGGATGGCCCGCCCTCGCCTGCTCCTCCTCATCGCCCTCGCCCTCACTCCATCTCAATCAACCTCGCTCCTCTCTCCTCTCTCTCGGCAGCCAGTATTTGGTTCAGCACACGCTGCAGCGGCGCCTCTTCCGAAATGCAGACGCTCTGATCATCCCCTCCTGCCCAGTCCAAACACCACCGCCATGTCGATGCCAGAGTCATCAACGCGCACTGCGCCTCAGCAGCATCCGGGCATCGACAAGCCGCTGCCCGGAGTGGCCCCGTCTGCAGTAATGCGGCCCGACCTCGATCAACGCAAGGACGAACTCAACGGCAGAGCGCAGGATACCGCTCCACGCATCTACGAACCGCATACCAAACCCAGAGAGCTCTTCCTGCGCGTGCGCGTCCAGTCGATAGAGAGGGCCAAGAAGGACCTCGTCGTCCGCATCGATGCGCTCACGAACCTGCCCCACTTCCGCGCATCCTCCTATCCGGGCGTCACTCGCTCCTACCGCGAGCTGTGCCTCTACGCACTCGCGCTCTCCCTCTCCAGCCCAGCCATCATCGTGCCTGCACTGCCGCTTCCTTCCACCACGGCCAGCGGCGTCGAAGATACCCGCATCCTGCGTCTCATGCTCGCCAGATGGTTCTCCCGCATCCTCGCAGAACCTAGCCTCCGAGACCATCCCGAGACACGCAACTTGGTCGAGGCCGACTTTGCCTACGCACCCACGCCACCCGGCACCGGCAGCTCCTCGGCCGCACGCAAACGCTTCGCCAACGCCATGGCGAGCGCCGCCTCTGTCGCATACGGCGGCGTCGATGCTACAGGCGGCCTCCCCAACGGCGTCCTCGCCACCTCCGCATCCGCAGGCTCGCGCATCTCCAGCAGCGGATTCAGCATCCTCGGCCTCGGCACCAGCTCCAAGGGCCTCAGCACCTCCCGAAGCGTCTACGACGACGACGAGGATCTCGTGGCTGCGCGCGCCGAAGTCACGCGCCTCGAGATGCAGTTCGCCGACGCCGCCGAAGCGTCCGAAAAGCTCGCAAATGCACGCCGCTCGCTCAACGTCGCGCTCTCGGATCTGTCGGTCAAGCTGAGCAATCTGGGTGCCGTCGAGGAGATCCGTCCACCGTCTCTGCGTCTCGGCTTGCCCTACGTTCTCAAACGCACCGCCTACACCGCTCGCAGTCTAGGCGAGCTGCAAGATGCGCTCAGCAACACGGAGCTGCTTACGCTGGGCGACGCAGTGGCGTATCAGTCGATCAACGCGCGTGCCGCCAAAGAGACCATGCTTGCGCGCAATGCGCTGGTGGAAGAGCACCACACCGCGCAAAAGGCGACGGTCAACAAGAAGCGCGAGGCGGAACATCTCAAGATGCAGCGCAATCTCCGCGCGGATCGCGTAGACGATGCGCTCGAGGAGCTGCACGAGGCGCAGCGCCACGAACACGCGCTCGCTCAGCATCTCAAACGCATCAGCCACGAGCTGCACGCGAGTCTGCAGAGCCACTCTCGGCATGCGCACCACGATGTGCAGCAGGCGCTCATCGAGCATGCGCGCGGAAGCACCATGTTTGCCAAGCAGATGCTCAAGGAGATGCATGCGCTCAGCGCCGAGTTGGATGCGTCGCGTCGAGGCGAGGCGAGCAAGGCGCACACTCCCGTACGACCCACCCATACGCCACGCCAGAGCTCCGTGTCTAGACCGCCATATGCCAGCGTCGATTCGGGATGGAGCACGCCCACGGAATCGCCAGCACAGCCACGGTCCGAGGTTGTCGAGCCATCGCGGCCATCGCTCGGGTCGCCCCGGGGTAGTGGACGTTCTGAATCCATGGCTCCCTCGCTGTCGGCTGAGTCCAACGCTTGGTCGCGCGCTCCATCGTTGGATGCACCATCGATGGCACAGTCCATGCATGCTGCCGCCATCCCACCATCATCGCCATCGCCATCGCAGCGTGCGCCGCCAGTGGCCCAATCCATGTTCCTCGACCGTCCCACGCCCGCGCGCCCCAACCCTTTCGGCACGCTCAACTCCGGCAGCTCCGGCACCGCCAGTGGTCGCTCCCGCATCTCGGCCGCTGACGCCGCACGCTCCCTAGCTGGAACCTTCTAACATCCTCCCTCACCTCTTTGGAGCGGCACCAGATGCATCCCTCGGCCTGACCCAGCCCAGAGCACACACATTCCCTACTCGCGCTCGTCACCACAGCTGGCCGAGGCAGTTGCGCCGGGGCAAAGAGAAATCCAAATCGACATTTCCAACCGCTTCCATCCGCATGAAAAAACAATAACAAGAACAAAGAGCTGCCTGCAGAAGGGTGTAGATCCTGTGAGAGAGAAAGGCTTGGGTGGGCTTGACAAGGGTATATCGTATCCTTAAAGTGGCGCGGGTCGAGTGGTGTGAGGAGGGGCGGCTTAGCTGTACAGAGCTGCACCCATGCGTCGCGCGCCCGAGGTCGGTGTCGTAGGCGAAGCCGGCGGGGGCTGTCGAGCGTCTCCGGACACCTGCCTTCTGTGTCCACCGAGGTGGGGCGACGCGGGAGCGGGGCCATGCGACGAGTATCCCTGCGGCGGCGGATGTAGCGGCGGCAGCTGTCTCGACGACGTCGACAGCGGCGAAGGCGGCGGATAGTGCGCGCGTCTCACCGCCGACGGCGTCTGCGCCGAGTAGGGCGACGACGGCTGCATCGACGGCGACAGCGGGCCGGCAGCGTGCGGGTGCGACATCATCCTCGCATGCGTAGGTGTCTGCGACGACGGTGCCGGCAGTGCCTCCTGTCGCGGCGTCGGCGAAAACTGACCGTACACGCTGCCCGCCGGAGCAGGCGCGCCGATCGACAGCTTGTGCAGCGGCGTCGAAGTCGCGCCCGCCTCGCCGTCGGCGCCTCCACTGCCTCGCGAGGCGCGACGCACGTGCGAGCCGCTCTTGCGTCGATTGCTCGAGCTGGGCATCTGTGCATCGTGCCCATAGTCGGAATCCTGCGACTGCTGATCCGACGCCGACGCCGACAGGCCCTGTCCGCCATCGTCGGCATCCGCCTGTGCCTTGGCTGCCGCCTCCTTGCGCCGCATGAGCAGGTATCGCTGGCGGCACTGATGGTACGAGCGCGTGCCTACGGCGCGCGAGATCAGCTCCCACCTCTGTCCATGCTCCTTAATCGCCGCACGCAGCTTGGTGTCCTCCTCGGCGGTCCAGCGCACATAGGGCAGCCTCTTTTCGGGGTTCTGGTTGCCACCAAAGCTCTTACCGTCGCTGGCGCGCGACGACGAGCCCTGCGAGCCATTCTTGCGCGAGCCGTCCTGGGCGCGCGACCCGGCGGATCGCGAGCCCGACTTG